GGAAAATTTAAGGAGTTATTATTATGTACGTTTAGATGATACAACCGGTAGGATACTTTTGCACGTTACTGTAACAGGTTGGTGTGATGTCCGAGTGTATAACAGACGTGCAATAGAGGCGGAAAACGCGCAACTCTTTGTAGTGTCTCTCGGTAAGACGGCATTTGAGAAAAAGTTATTATTATGAATATAATATGATTAACTTTTCAATGAAAATTATTATTGATAGCACAACAAAAATGATTTAACCGCAGTAAATATGTCGCTAAGCTGAAATTTATCATTAAAAAATGATTAAATGCTATTGAGGACGTTGCGTAAGCGATAATGGCTGTATAGTAACAGTAGCAGACGCAGTATTTAATCCCACGATACTATACGGAAAGTATCCGCAATATATTTTTAAGCACATAGACTGTATTCTGTTGAAGACTACTTTATTAAACAAGATTGGTAATATAAAATGATACACGTCTATAACACAATCCAATTGATTACCAAAAAGTTGATTTTTTTTTATTTGGCCGTGTTTGATACTGATATTATAAGGAGCGCGCAATAATTTTTTGTAAATAAAAGAGAGAAGCCGTAACCTCTTCTTGTTGGCAGCTTTTTTAAAAGTCTTAATGCTTTTTATTTCTTTTTCTACTCCGGTTTACTCTTCATAAACATAGCAAAATTGGACTGAGCCCTGGCATGTCCTTGGGTCAACAACTTTGATATAATGAACTGCTTTTTGTTCATTTCATAGCACTTATCCAGATTAAATTGAGCATTTGTATATCTTTTTCCAGCAGCTTGTTGATATAATTTAAATGTTTTTGTATTTTTTATACTCTAATTACAAGATTAAATTGAGCTAACTACTTTGTTTATCTTTTGCTAGTTTGGTTCCATGTTTCGTCAACACATTCGAGCTTCGTTGGTAGACAAATTTCGTTTTTTGGACAATCCAATTTTGTAAATATTTGTTGTTAATAAGTTATCAATAAGTTGATAATACTCTAATGTGCCAGATAAAGACCACTATGGCATGTTTATTCTCGCAATCAATTGAGTTATTTTGGCAAACTTAGTTTTTAGGCCCCAGTGTGGCTTCAAATCTGTTTACTAATATAATACGTAATTTTGGAATTTTTTATTGTTATGATGAAATAACTCTAATGTTATTCCAAGAAAATGTTATATAAAAACAGTTTCTTAATTTTAATTGACATTTTAACTCACTATTACTTCTTACAGAATGTGTTTTTAATAAACTCTATCATATTTCTAATTTTTATAAGCCTTATTTTCACTATCAAGTATTTTTTATTAATAAATGGCATCTATCTAAGGTCAAGCCATTAACAATTGTTGTCTTTATATAAATTTAATAATGTAAACACTGGCTAGACATGTACTATTAACTTTTGTCTGGTAATAACAATTCATTGATTTTAAAAAAAAAACGTATTTGTAATTTTCATGTATATCCTTATATTTATATCCTTAGTTTATTACAAACTTTACATAATTATCAAACAGTTTGTTACCATAAAAAGCAGGGCTATTCAAATAGTGACTATTTAATACAGCAATTGGTAGTCTCACTTCAACCAATGCTATACAAAGTTAAATAAAATGTCTTGAGCAATAGCAAATCATTTATATATTTAGTGTAAAAATATTGGATTGTATACAGAGTAAAGACATTCGAGTAATTAATTTCATACTAACAGACTATTACTGACTAAAATTTTTTAGGAATAAGTTGTTAATATAAATGATAATACAGCATGTATTATCAACGTTACCGAATCAATACGATTATTGACATGAATGTCGCTCGGTTAAGCAGTGATAAATCAGATTGTACTTGTACTACGTTTCAAAATTCCCCTTGGTCTAAATAAACTGATTTTCTGAGCAATGATTTGTCATCGTTTTGGCAAACATAGGAATAGGATCTGTCGCACAAAATAAACTTAGGTTTATGTCAAGAGAACCCCTTAACTTAACTGCTAAAGGTAAACAAAATCTGCCACTGGCCTATGAGAAAAGTTTCTTATTACTAATAATGACGATAATTGATTAATAATCAATCATGGTCAAAGTTAATCAGGGGCCGCATGCATACAGTCCTTTATATGGCAATTCGTGATCATTATTTCGGCTAAATAGCCTCTCATTCAGATGTGGCGTTCTTTATATTATTGAAGCAGTTAAAATTTGAGCAAGAAACAAAAGCTACATCTATTACAATGAAGCGAACATATACTTTGATTGTTGGCTAGTTATTCTGTGTATAATAATTTATTAGTACTATCTAGAATGACTTGATTTGTACTGTGTACGATGAAGGGTACTATTCAAGGCGATTATAATACGATTGAGACTATATATTATTTTGTTGCATAAACTGGTTATAAAAGTTCTATAGCGCTTAATCGAGTTAGTGTTGGGTCAATATTGTTATCCAATAAATAATATAATAATGATGATGATAAAGATTTGAGTACTTTCCAGACGGGGGATACGGCCTACATTATGTAATGCGATAAATTTTTTAACAATTGTAACATTTTCTCTTCACAAACCATTGTTTAATTCTCAACTGTGATTTCAGACAGGTACCATCCGTTTTGTTTGATTATTCGTATTTTTGGTACAATTTTTGTTTACAAAAACAATAATCTGAAGACAATTGTAAGATCATTGCTGCTTATTTGGTGCAGTTGATATTAAAATAAAACTTATTTCGCTCCATTGTTACTATTACGTACAACAAATTGTTGGTTCTTGTCAATCTATTCCCCATAAAATAAAACCTGGTTAAAATTCTTTAATTTTTGCCACGTGTTCTCTTTACAATATAAATTATGTAGTCTTTTTTTTTTTAGTAGTTTATATATTGCTAGCTTTGTAAACCAAGTATTGTAACTCACTCTTCTATGAATCGCAAAACATGTTGATTTCTAATCTAGAGATATTAAATTGGAGTATTTGCTTTAAAATAACACAAGCAAGTTGGAGATAGCGACCTGATTGAAAATCCTATTATTAATACCAAAACAGCAGTTGTCTCATGTGAATGACATGAGGGGTATGGAGAAAGGACCCCGACATCCATGCTCTCCTTACTATTGCTATGACCAAAAAAAGATCCTCCGTGTGAGGAATTCAGACAATTAATGGAAAGATGCGAGAGAGCATTATAGTGTTTTTGCGGGATTGAGTACAGAACATTATATATAGCATATTGCATTCTAAATCCACAGAGAAGCGAAAATTCTATACGACATCTGCAACTCGACCGCGTTCTCCACCAAGTAGAAAAACACCGGGCTGTCATCGGAACGGTAACTTTATTGTATTGAATGCACTGAAAAACATAGGCATGATTCACATATCACAAAGGTTTCGAATAAAAATTTTTTTCGTTTCTCGCATATCGCTCGTCTCAAATGGCCCCTCCGGAAGCGAGGCGACGCATCGTCCTCCCTCTATATCACCACCACAAAAGGCACCTTTTTTTTGGCGATCAAATCTTCCGTTTTCATATGCGGTAGAGACGATAAACCCTTACTGAACAAGATCACAGGGTTCATAAAATAGTTGGTACTACACAAACAGACTCGAAAAAAAGCAATCAGACAGCTCAGCAAATCATGTATAACATTAATCTTTTATGGATACGGCTAGCTTTCTTGTCCATTCAGATCTCAAAGCCATCCAGAAACGTTGGGACTTTTGTCTGTCCTGTTTGTAGTTTTTCAATCAGCTTGAATAGATCATAATTAATTTCTTGACTAACGACCGAGTCGTAGTTATATTTAGGATGCGATCGGACAAACTCACGAATCCAAGTCGCTGTTGTTGCCAATTTTCCTGTGATAGCATAATTGTGTCATTAGAGGTAATGGAAATAATAACATAATGACTTGGGATGCGATCCTTATTTAATGCTTACCACTAGCTCTCTTGCTTACTAAGTCTAAATATCTGTCTAGTTGTCTGCGCGTATCATGATCTATGCCCGATGCATCGAGATACCCTTTAATGAGTGGAATCAGCCCTATAAAATGTCCATCCTACGAGTACACCATCCGTGTAAATAGTCAATAGTTTTGTAACACATGAAAAACAATAACGCATGATATTCCTACATCGCCATTGATGATTTGGTTTATTGTCATCTTTTCCCATTTATCGCTCATCGAACCATTGGAGAGGTTGGCGCGGTTGATTTCAGAGATTTGGCTCGTCTTCCGACAGCTTGAGACAGCTGTAGAGACAAATATAATCTAAATTATTATAACGAAAAAAGTGGCGAACGTCCAAGCTTAGTTCTACTCACCATCGTCATAAATGCTTTTCCTAAACCAAAACTCTTCATTCAGCACTGCGCCTCGTTTGTGGGCGATCCCCATGTTTTGGTCAACCTAAATTGTAGAATTCGAATAGTTAGTATAAAATAGTGATGTTTGTCCGTTACTCAATGTAGAGTACCTTGGAGATTGGTATATAGAAATTAAGCCCATATACCAGGATGATTCGAGTCAACAATGCAATGAAAATCGCAAAGGCTGCATTCTCGAAATCCGTAATTTGGACCTCCATACTACGAAATTCGACTCTCCATCCAATGCTAGAGTTTGGAGGAGGTGGTTTGAAGCGCACCGTTTGCCAGTTCGTTGATTGTATGTTCTAAATAGATGTAACTTTAATATTTGATGTGATAGAAACTTCTTCAACCATCTTATTTCATATAAAACAAGTCACCTCAAAATGGTCAGTTGACGTCTCGTCGTCTTGATACAAGAGTTCATCATAAATTACCAAAGGATCGCGAATAAACAAGTGTGCAACATGCCGTGCCAACAAGTCATCGATACCTGTATGAGAAAGACACATGAGCGATGAAGATTGTGATAACTGAATCTTGATAAGTATGAAATTACAAACCGTTATCTATGAGTCTCTTGTATATCGACTCATCGTAAACTAGAGGAAGGTCATTATATTCTTGTTTAAGACGAGCGTCGGTCGAAATATAGCTGTCAATTGAATCATATCGAGATTTATTTATGACGAACTTGTTCTTCTTTAATGGCTGTGATTTGAATGCTTGGTGAAATTAATACAAGAGTCGTTCACAATTCGCATTCTTGAAACACATCTCTACCTCAAGGCCTCTTTCTTCTTCCGTTCTATCGTCGACACTGCTTGCAATAACGTCCCAGCGACAGTCAGTATCAGAAAGATATCCACGCCATATCGGAGCAGCTGCTGTTAGAGCCAACTACATGAAGAATATATGATTAGTGGCGTATACGAGAATGTTATTCACTACGCTTACACATACTTGCAAAGCCTTACCATTATAGGTGCCAACGTGGCCAGCTGATCATATAACCTTCTAGCATCACTTACTGTGCGTGTTTGAAACGTTATCTGCAGACAGCAGCTTCCCATTCCAAAGCACATTGCGTCCATATATATGTGATCAGGCAAAGCAGCTCCCGAAGCAGCCTCTTTATCTTCTGGATATTTATCCCGATTCCACTGTATTGTAGGATCGATGAATGGCTTTGGTGTTTTGGTATCATGAAATATCGGCATATTAATAGCCACTTTGGATCCACGCCGAGTACGAATATTAGCCGTCAATGTTCTGCAAACACACCGATTATAATGTCGATCAACAAACAGGAAAACACACAGTCTACGAAACAAATACACATACGGAAATCTTGGATGTGGGTTGATAACTTCATCAGGGACAAAGAGACTTTTTGCCACAGGCCCGCCTGGTTCAAAATGTGGCTCTAGGAATTCACCGAGGCAACCAAGCCTAGGGAAACTGGTGACGGTGACGACGGTTTCGTTAGCCCTCAAATATTTCATGACGGTTTGTCGACGCAGTTTCATACTAGATTCTACGCGAGTTAGATCTGCTATTTTGTTCCCGAATGGAGTCCCTGGTGTGCCTATAGAAAGAAAGAGTAAGTATGAAGATTGATCCGACGAAACAGTTACATGCATCCCCTGACTCGTATCCTCAATTCACCTTCTAGCATGTAGCTTCCATATTCTGGTCGCCAGCCACTCTGCACCGTTTTTCTATACATAAAGAATGTTCCATTTCAGTACTCAAGTGATCGCTTTTCCGCAATTAAAATAAAAGTTTTCTTTCTAAATTCAATAAATCACACTATAAAAAACAACATATAGACCCCCGTTTAGATTCGTACTTTGGGTCCTTCTCCGCCTCTGCTTCTTCCTTTGCGAGCTCGGAGTAAATCTCTGATACTCGTAAACTTAATTTCGCATTCTTGTTATTATGATCCATAAAAATAACCATGTATTCAACCTGACCGGATCAAGGAAAGATAAGAGGTCAAATTCAAACGAGGATTTGATAAATCACACTGGTATAAGCATACGTTCATACTTCATCGCCGAAAAGCAAACATTCTGTTTTTTTATCCTTCATTTTATTATACAGCGCCAAAAACTGTTCGATGCCGTGGTGTCTAATGAGTTCTGTATATGTTTGAGATTTTCCCCAAGGCAGAGGAGTTCCTAAGAATGCCAAAATCCCTTTGGGTGAGATTCGTCACCTTCTCTTGACAATTAACCTTCCGTAATACGGTTTCGATATCCGCCAAAACCTCAATAGTGTTATTCAAGTTGTAAAGATTTCAATACTTACCAAGAGATAAAAGACCCATTGTTTCTGAGCGATCCAAGACTATTACGAGCACGAAAAAAAAAAAGCAATTCTATGTACTCTTCAAGTGTAAAGAGGCGATTATAAATATTACAAGTAAATTTTGTGTAACGCGGTTGTAAACATCATTTTGTAGTACTGTAAAAATACATTGCAACCAATGAAATCATCGATTGACACATCGCAAATGCCCGTAAATTCTTACTAAGTAAAAATGACAGTAGTTGAAATGATGACCATACATAGCAACTATTTTTTTCCCAACTGATGTGAACATGTGATAGATTTAACCGAAATGGCTACTGCAAAAGCAAATGGCGAAAAGGAGAATAATGAAACATACGTATTTCGAAATAGCGTTATGGAGGCGTTGGAGTGTTTAGATGAGTTGATCAAAGTCAACTGGGCCAAAGTACGTTAGACTTGTTTATAATTTAGGTGTTACGACCTTATAGCATCAAACTGGTTACGTCATGTCAGTGTCATTGTAAGCAAGCGATAATGGGATGATACTAAGACTGATTTACAACTTCTCTCTTTTGCTTTGTCAATGAGAAAAGTGCGAATTGATGCATTCTCCTATTGGTAGTAGACAGAATCTACTTGCTGGTAATTATAGAATTCGCTATATACAAACATTTATTATATCGCACGAACCTCGGTATCGTCTAAATCCCGGTCCGACGGGTTTACTATAAAAAATCACTGAATAACCAAACAAACATCTTTTGTTTTTGCAAAGCGCCACAATATCGCTTGTTCTGTAACTCAAATAACAAATTTATCCAGTTATTTTATTATGCATGCAGTGTACATAATCCACATGTTTGATCTGGGTCATGTCCGCTATTTTTGGTGCTTTGTAAGACGTAAAAATCCAAATTCTCAACAATGATATAAAAATCGCCAACATAAGCCTTACTAAATCAGGTAAGTTTCTTTCTTTTTTTTCTTTCTCCTTCCATACGTATTAATAATAACAAAATGGTGCACAACATAGTTATTCGGGTGTCTTTTGATCCGATCACATCTAATACTAAGCGCTGTTTATTTATATCACTATTATAGTAATTACAGTGTGTGACAAAAAAACTTGACTGTAGTAAATTTATTATATATCCATCGAGACTGTACCAAATTTAATGATCGATACATCATTTGAAAGCCAGAAAGATACCAAATAAGTTTAATTAAAGCTAAAAATTAATTTGCTCACCGTTGGTTTCAATAACTAACTCGCAACGGCGTCGCATCGAGTTTACTAAATTGTTTAAGACAGATTCTGGAATAGCATTCCAT